GTTGGGAGGGCATTGTTCATATATAAAGGGGTGGGTGGAGAGCGATTGAGTACATCATTTACTCGCCACATAAATGAGAGTTGAGTGTGTGAGCACTAGTCTTGAATTCTATATGCTCTTGTGGTTTGCTCTATTTGACAATTGTTAGGAAGGATGAGTAGTTGGATGAATTTGATTGGTTGATTTTGATGCAGGCTTGTTGGATTTGCCTTGAATTGGTATGCTTGGTTTAAACTATTTTTAGGGTGAAGTGTGTTTTATCTGTTCATTGATGAGCTCTTTGCTTTGGGACAAGCAAAGGTTTGGCTTGGGGGAGTTTGATAGTTCATTTTATATAGTGATTTACCCCCATCCTTGGTCATTTTTAGGAGTATTATTGGCTTTTTGGAGCCACTTTTATTACTAACATGCGCTTTCTAGTGTTTTCGTAGTTTTGGTACTATTTTATAGGAAATTGCAAATTTGGAGCATTTTCCCGGACTTATGATAAGCCACTATGAGCATTAGAGAATTATGACCATATTTCATAGCCCAGGACCGGTTGGAGTCGTCAAATCGGTGATTAAGGGCTCGACAAAGATGAGATCGAGGCAATGGACCAAGTATTCAAGACCCAAGAGGAAATTCGAAATTGGGATGAGAGAAATAGCCCAAAAGTGAAAAGGTCAGCTTGCCCGAGAGCTCGCCCGACCGGGCAAGCCCTTACCCTGAGGCGCGCCCGGCCGGGCGAGGCATATTGAAGGAAAAGAGGCTTCGCCCTTACACGCGCCCGACCGGGCGCTAGTGAAGATTAAAGGCTCAAAAAGGCGGGCTCGGCCGGGCGAAGCTCCGCCCGACCGGGCGCGTGTTTCTAAGAAGAAGTTTTGACGATTTAATTTGCTTTATTTTTAATTGGATTTTGTGCTTAAGTAAAAATACGTTTTAAAGCTAGATACGATTACTACTTCTTTAGTTAGTTAATTTCCAGATTTCTGATTTTAAGCTTTGGTTAATACTCTCATTTTCTCTCTACACCTTTGACTTATGCAATTCATTATTTTCTGTTTACTTTGGTAACGATTTCTTCCCTCTTTATTTTCAGTAATTTAATTTCTTTGATTTAATATGCTTTGTTTAATTGCTTTGATTAGTTTAGATCTAATTATGTGTGAGTAGTTTCATACTAGGGTTTATGGGGATCCATAAATAATATAAAGGGGTAATTTATTATGGTTGATTGTTAATGTTTCAGATTAATTTCTTATTGATTGGTTTACTGCTATGCAATTAGATTAGCCCTGGTTTAATTGTATGAGTTATTCAATATTAATTCGAGATTTGAGAGATGAGAATTGATGTTTAGGCTTAGTTTCAATAGGCAGGTTAATTTATAAATGGTCAAGTCAAGATTCGAGAGATGCGATTTAATACCGGTAGATTAATTATGTGATTGTAATACGTAGCGAATGCCCTTTATGATCTGATTAATTTATGCATTGATAATTGCTTGTTATGTTTTTACCCTGGAATGTTGTTTATTGGTGAACCTATACCCTAGGCCTTTTATTATTGATTTTCTCCCATACTCAACTTGCTTTAGTTTAATTATTAGTTTTACTCTCATAACAATAATTCGGTTACTTAATAGTTTAGATTATATTAATTATTTAGTAATAGAAAGACTTGTTTCCCTGCCCCTACTTCCCTATCTACTTTAGCTAGAGGACTTAGGTAATTCTTTTGATTAGGTGATACGACTTTAGCCTGTCAGGTTCAACAGTCGTCTTATCATCATTTTCTTATTCTGATCGTATTATGGCATAAACGCCTCGGCCATATGAGTGAAAAAGGAATGGACATCCTGAGCAAACGTGGATTTCTCAGCTCACCCGGCACGGGTAAGCTAGAATTCTGTGAGCACTGTGTCTACGGGAAGCAAAAGAAAGTAGGTTTCTCTACTGCTACTCACAGAACTAAGGGTATTCTTGATTATGTCCACTTTGATTTATGGGGACCTACTAAGGTCGCCTTTTATTCTGGAAAGCGCTACTTTATGTCAATCATTGATGATTTTTCTCGTAAAGTTTGGATTTATTTCTTAAGGCATAAAAATGAGGCTTTTCCCACTTTCAAGAAGTGGAAAGCTCTTGTAGAAAACCAGACTGGGAGAAAAATCAAGAAGCTCAGGACTGATCGTGGCATGGAATTTTGTGATGGCGAATTTGAAGAATTCTGCGCTCAAGCCGGCATTGCTAGACACAAGACACTACTAGGCAAGCCTCAACAAAATGGCGTAGCAGAGCATATGAGCCGAACTCTTCTAGAAAGAGCTCGGTGTATGATCTCCAATGCTGGACTATGGAGCCGTTGTTATTTACGGACGGAAGCCATATCTACAGCCGCATATATTGTCAACCGTTCTCCACACTCTTCTATTGACTTCAAAATACCAGAGGAAGTTTGGTTAGGTACAACCGTTGACTACTCTTTCCTAAAAGTTTTTGCTTGTATCACTTATGCTCATATTAATGATGGAAAACTAGCTCCTAGAGTTGTTAAATGCATTTTCATTGGCTATTCCTCATAATCTAAAGGCTATAGACTATGGTGTCTTGAGTCTAAGAAAGTGATTCTTACTCGAGATGTTACTTTCAATGAAAATGCTACTATCAAATCCTCTGGTATGAAGTCTTCTGTTTCACCTCCTAACACAGGTAATCAGGATGGTGATAGTGAGAAGGTGGAGTTGGAGACAACTAGCCATTCTTCTACGGTTGAAATTGATGCTTCCTCAAGCTCTAGTTCCAGCATTGATGATCAAGATCATGATGGCAGTTCTCCGATTACCATTCATTCAAGCCAACCACAAAGCCCTCATCAACAGTCAGATTACAATCTGATAAGGGATCGTTCAAAATGGTCTATTATAAGGTCATCAAAATATTCTGGAGATGAATATGTGCTTTCTTACGCACTATCAGTTGGCGAAGAAACTGCAGTTGGTAAGGAGCCATCCTCTTATTTAGAAGCCATCTCCGGTCTCGATTCATCTAAATGGCTTGTGTCAATGAACGAGGAGATGGAGAGTCTCCATAAGAATGGCACATGGGACCTGGTCAAGCTACCTAAAGGCCGAAAAGCAATTACTTGTAAATGGATCTACAAGCAAAAGGAAGGCATTCCAGGAGTTGAACCTGCAAGATGGAAGGCACGCCTTGTTGTCAAAGGCACACCATCAAAAAGAAGGTATTAACTTTAATGAGATTTTCTCTCCTGTTGTTCGTCATACCTCTATTCGAGTCCTTCTTGCAATGGTTGCTATGTTTGACATGGAGTTGGATCAACTCGATGTCAAAACTGCCTTTTCAAATGGAGATCTTGAAGAAGAAATTTATATGAAGCAACCCGAAGGATTTGTTGTTCCTGGCAAAGAAAATCATGTCTATCGCTTAAAAAAATTCTTATATGGTCTCAAGCAGGCTCCGAGACAGTGGTACAAGCGATTTGACTCATTTATGAGTAAACAAGACTACATACGTAGTCACTACGATCAATGTGTCTGCTTCCGACGGTACAGAGGAGTTTATATCTATTTGCTGCTATATGTGGATGATATGCTCATAGCATCTCAAGATAAGACATCGATTGAAAAATTGAAGTCTCAACTTCACAAGGAGTTCGAGATGAAAGATCTTGGTGCAGCTAAGAAAATTCTCGGCATGGAGATACATCGAGATCGACAGGCTTGTAAGTTATTCCTATCTCAGAAAAGTTATATTAAGAAAATTCTTGATCGTTTTAATATGAGTGATTGTAAGCCTGTCTTTACCCCACTTGCTGCACATTTTAAGCTGTCATCTGCATTTTGCCCACAAATGGAGGAAGAAAAAGAAAAAATGGCACTAGCATAACTTATGCTAGTGTAGTCGGCAATCTTATGTATACCATGGTCTGTACTAGACCTAATCTAGCACATGCTGTGAGCATGGTAAGCAGGTATATGCACAACCCTAGCAAAGAGCATTGGAATGCTGTAAAATGGATATTTCAGTACCTAAAAGGTACTGGAGATACGGGGTTAGTATTTGATAAGAACTTAACAACTTCTACTGATGTTGTTGGGTTCGTTGACTCTGGCTATGGTGGTGATCTTGACCGTCAAAGGTCTCACTCCGGTTATATCTTCCCTCTTTGTTCGGGAGCAATAAGTTGGAAGGCTCAATTGTAACCAATAGCTGCTCTTTCCAATACTGAAGCAGAGTATGTCGCAGCAACTGAAGGTATAAAGGAAGCTACATGGTTGCGAGGTCTTGTTATGGATCTTGGTATACCACAAAGTGTCACCGTGGTATACTCTGATAGCCGAAGTGCTATCTTTCTCACCTAGAATGATGCTTACCATTTCAAGACTAAGCACATCTCCGTCATATACCATTATGTCAAAGATACTAGTGATCAAGGTGAAATTGTGGTTAACAAGGTACATACTTCAGAAAATCCTGTGGATATGCTCACAAAGCCACTTCCTACTACTAAGTTCGATCATTGCTTGGACTTGGTCGGAGTTTATCCTTGCTAGATTCAAACTCACACAAGTACTCAAGATTTGGTCCAAGGTGGAGATTGTTGGGTATCATACATGTGGCCCAAATTCTTGAGAAGCCCCAAATCATCCCTCATATTAGTATGTCGGTGATGATCAACAATCCACAACTCTCTTGATTGCTCTAGAAAATAGTCAACTTGCAACTGTCAAAGCAAAAGCTAGAAAACCCACCTAAAATATCATCACTCCACCGCCATAATACCACCGACTCCAACAACTATAAATAGTTGGAGTTTGGTTCATTTTTTATAATAAAAGTCATCCTACTAAACCAACTTCTTTATTCATATTTTTCCTCGTATAATTCCACTATTTTTTGAATACTCCCTTGTGAGTTCTTTATTTGTAAGAGATATTGTAATATTTCTCACTCTAATAAATTAGGGTCTTTGTACTCTCATTTTAATATAGTGGATTTAATTTTTCGTGTGCTCGTTGAGTGTTATTTGCTTAATAGCTTTTTCTTGCCGTTTATACTTTGTCAATTTCTCAATTAATTACGTTTCCGTTAAAGCTCTTACCCTAACAAATTTTGCTATCAAAATGACAATCAGTTCGAGAGAGATTATAACACAGACACTAAGATAACCAGCCAAACAGCCATTAGGACATTCAGGAGTATGACTTCTTTTTGCTTGAATGGCCTTAATGTATCCTCTTTTGCAGGAACTTCTTAAACCAGAGAGCAGAAAGTTTAGGGTATCGTTTTAGCCCGTCTTTGTAATCCACATAGTTGATCCCAAATCGGACAGTATAACCGGAGTTCCATTCAAAGTTGTCCAACAATGACCAAGCGAAATAGCCCTTCACGTTAGCGCCTTCCCTACAATCCAAAATCAATGCAATCAATCATTTGATTCTATAAGAACATGTAACCTATATTTGAGGGAACTACCAGTAATAGTAATTGCATTGGCACCTACGTAAGGCCTAAGTGATTTCTTTGTACTTTCATGAGTTAAGCCTAGAGCTGAACATAGGAAACTACACTTTGAGCTGAAAAAAGTCGGTCTCGGCCTAGACCGAACATAGCACCCCTCAAAAGAAATGGATAGATTGACATCGAATCTAGTTAAACTCATGATTTCGTGAACTCTAAAGTGTTGGATGTAGAGTTATCTTGTTGAAAGAATTCTATCATTTATCAGAAAATTAGCCAGCTATGTTCGTTGTAGGATAAAATCATCTCTATCAAGCAATAATTCAAATCACTTACTTAATTGCAAGATTTAAGAAAGCGAGATGATCATGGTGGTATTGCACCCTCATTTTATCACTAAGTGCTTCCTCAAGTGACAAATTATTATTGTTAGCCTCATCAACACCTGTAAAAAGCGGAGGCGACAGTTTTGAGTATGATCATTCAAATTTCTGCCTGGCACTTGAGTTATAGAGAAATAAAAGGTGCAATTTATGAAATTTCTTGGTTTTTCTTTGAATAAAAAATAGTGCTCAGCCTACCATTCTCTGTTATATAAACCAAAGGGTTGTTATATTTTCTCTTCACATATAGCAAAAGATCTCGAATTCCTCGTGGATAAACATACAGCCAATCTGAAGCCGCCTGCAGAATGAGAAGGGCAAAATGAACAACATTACTACCCTTTAAGTCAAGGAAACAACCCTTTTTTGGGGCAGCCCAGACCAAAAACAAGGATAAGGTATAGTATTTCAGATTTAAGCGAAAGATAACATATCTGATCATAAATAAGAAATTTCGAGATACTGAGGAATCGCTCGTATACCTTTGGACCAATTGGAATTCCATTTCGCTTCACTGCAAGAAAACAACCAATTATTACTCGTAGTAAAGCAATTGCTGAAAATTTTGACGAGTATTTCTTTATTTACGTATAACTGTTATTATCTAGCATGTAGGAGTGTAGGAGGTTACATCAGAACAGTCTGTCAGACTATAAACATACCTGTTTGTCTAACAATAGGATCAGTGATGTACGAGGGTTTTGCCTGCTTCAGGCCAGGAGAATAAGCTGCATAATAAGCAGTGTAATAATTCAAACCCAGAAAATCAAAGGATCCATTCACCATCCTTGACTGCTCAGCAGAAAATTTAGGCAACCGGCCTTTTACAAGGGACTGCATGGTATGTGGATATTCACCTTTCGTGATTGGATCCATAAACCTGTATGCAACCATTCCTGTATGAGAGCCCATTTCTATGCTCGAACAAAGATAAATATTAACGTCTTATTATGATATTATAATAGAACAAGATCAAAATAGAAATGGGTGTTAGAAAATGTAGATTCAGCAAAGGACCCAAGTTTGAATGTAATACACAGCTCACCATCCAAACATGAAGTCAAGTGATCTCATTGCTGCAAACTGATGGCGTTGTACTTCAAACAGTGGAACAAACCAATGTACCACTAGAGTAATACCGATTACACCTTTTTGAGAAACCTATGATCATAACAGGGTAATCAGATAGATCAGAGAATTTTTCTTAGTTCATGTGACAAAATGTTGTAGGTCATGCTAAGATACACAATTTTGATGCGATATGGTGTATAACCAAAAAATGCAAGGACGTTGAGATAGTTGTATAAGTCCAATAAGCTGAAATGCAAGATACAAAGTACTGATAAATCAAATCATTCATGAAATTGCATAACTAAACAGTTACAACTTACAGGAGGACATATTTAATGTTAAGAAGAATTCAAGCAAGTATAGAGCAGTAAAAGTTTATAAACCTGATATTTACGCCTATACAAATCCACTGCTGCTGCATGAGCAAGAAGTTGATGATGAGTAACCAAGTATGGTTCAGTAGATGAATCTCCACCAGTACAGTTAAGCTGTTGCCATTGTGAACATCGGCCAGGAGCCAAAACCCCATAAGCATACCCACCACTACTATAGGTCCAGGGTTCATTCAATGTAATCCAATGCTTCACTTTGTTACCAAATTCCTTGAAGCAAACATCTGCATAATCCCTAAAATCATCCCTGCAAGATTGTAACAAGGATTTAAAATTTTCGTTCTTAAAACGTTTAATGTTGAATTTCTTAGCTAAAGTATGGGAAAAGCTGAACATATGGCTTGGGCACAGGTATATAAAATCCGATCCTTTTTGTCACGGGTCATTGGATCGGCTACAATATCTGTCTGTAAAAGTTGTTCAAAGGTAGAAGTCAATCTTGCCACTCAGAAGGTAACTTACACAATATTAGGACTGAGGAAACCACCATACTCGTCTTCCAACGCTTGTGGGAGATCCCAATGGAAGAGAGTCACATAGGGTTTTATACCTGCCAATAAAAAAAATATAATCAGCAGCATTGCAAGGAAGATCAGCAAAACAAGTGCAACACAAGATTAACATTATAGTGAAGAAAATTAAGAAAGCTTTGACAAAACATTGAGGTATGAATTCTTTCACCAGTCGCTATTAGCTCATCAATAAGGTTGTGATAGTATGCTAATCCTTTCTGGTTCACGCCTCTTCGTATTTTTCCATCTGTTCAGTCATCAGATCATGCAGCTCAGAATGCAAAAGTTGTAGGAATGGATGATACACATGCTTTGAAAAATCAAATCAAGAAAAGGGTGATACATTACGTACAAGGTAAAATCCGTGACCAAGAAATTGAAAATCTGTAAGCGTCTAATCCCATTTGCTTCATGATCTTTACATCCTCCTACAAAATAGCCATTTGCTTCATGATCTTAACACATTTAATTTTAGCCATTCGCTTCATGATCTAAGTTGAGCAACACTTGAAGTTACCTTATAGCGATGGTATGAGTCTATAGCCACATCACCATTACTTCGATCTTTGATCTTATCTGCACAAAGAATATCATATCATTAATCAACAACATTTGAGATTACATAGGATTTTACACAAAGCATTCTTTTTAACTCTTCTAGTTAACAAATAAAGACCAGGACACAATTCAACTATGCTAATAACTAAACAGAACATTTATAAAGATTGGATCGATGTAGAACAAAAACAACTGAATGCAGAAAATTTCAAGGCACACAACACAAAACCTGGAAATTTATGAGTGAAAGTGTCCCATATACTCGAGCCTCTACCATCTACATGAGCTGCACCTTCATACTGTTAAAGAAAAACATGTCTCAAACACAATAATTATTTATCTTTCAATGTTTTTCACAATGTAATAAGTTTTCATGACATTCATACTGTTTATACAGAAGGAGATGTAGCTCTAACTCACCTGATACGACGATGAAGCACTCCCGAAAACAAAACCTGCAGGAAAACTGCTCCTATTGAGTGCACCAATCCCATAATAGGCTTGAATGGCATCGATATCAGGGGCACCATTGGAGTGCCCAAGCATAAAAAGTACGAGTACCAGTAGTTGGACAAGGAAAACATGGGTTTGATTCTCTACGCTCATGATTATACACAAATACTCTTTTTAATATATGCCTAAGTTTTTATTCCCTTGTTAATGTTGCCTTCTTATACACTTAGACAGTTATATACATGCAGTAAAAGCTGAACATAGACAAAACTAAGGTTACAAAAACATGTGTTACTTGCATTATTGAAAATGCACATACCACATCTTTATAACAAACTTTTTAATTGCTAAAATCTCATTATTTCTGTTTAAAATCTCTTGTAAAGGGCCCTTTTTAATTGCTAAAGAACATACGAGTAGTCCCCCTTACTGTTGTACACTTGTAACCTTACATACATTGGGGATATATGAATGACAGGCTAGTAATTGGCATTTTGAAGTAAACTATTGATGTATATTGGGCGTTTCGGAAAAATAAAAAATAAAAAAATAACATAAGAGGGTATTTTATTGATTTTTTTTTTTTTTTTTTTTTTTGTTTTTTCATTGTATATATTACGAATTCAGTTGTCACATCTTAATATAAATCACACTAATTTTGGATAAAGACAGTATATAAAATTAATTTATGTGAGCTTTCTTATTTTGAGCTTTCGTATTTTGAGGGACCAAATTAATTGTTAACGTAAATAATAAATTTTAATACACACTATTAAAGTGTTTTATACGAGTAGCACATTTTAACGTTAAAAGATTAATTTTGTAGCATGTGAGGGACCGAATTTGTAATTAACGTATGTAAAAGATCAATATTAAGGGACCAAATTTGTTTCTTGTTGCTCATTAATTACTTAAAATATGAGAGGACCACATTCCAACAATTGATTGTTAATTTGTTACGTTAATAGTGTGTATATACTACTCCATATTACCGTTGTACTAATTTAGGGTTCGTTTGACATTGTTGTACTTTTCTGTTTTTTAGTTTTTTTGTTTTTTAAAGTCATATGATATATGTATATAATGAATTAAAAATTAGTCAAACTTATCAAATTCATGAAAATTTTGAAAACGGACAATAAAAAAGTGGAAACACATTTTTCTTGTTTCCTGTTTTTGGTTTTTTGTTTTAAAAAAAAACAGAAAAGTGAAAACAAAAAACGATGTCAAACAAACCCTTAGTTATCACATCTTAGACCTCGTTTGGTTGAATGTGGAAAATGCAAATTCCTTGAAAATTTATAGTCCCATGTAATTGGAATTCCTAAAAAATGTTAAATTGTGTTTGGATAACCATGGGAAGTGGAAATGGAAATTCCCATGGGAAGTTCCACTTACCTAGATCTCCCTAGGTAATTAAATACCTCTATTTTGTGGAAAGTGGAAATTCATGGGAATTTCTACTTCCCATGAATTTGTCAACCAAACAACTCTAAATAATTTCAATTCCTAGGAATTTCTACTTCCCATGTTTTTATTTGTCAACCAAACGACACCTAACAATTAATTTTAGGTAAAGACAGTATGTAACGTAAACCAATAAGAAACAAACAAGTGTCGCGTCGGTATGACAACAGTAATTTACTTTAACAAGTTTGGTGCATGAACTTAAATCACTATATTTATGCATAAGAATTTGTCTTAATTAAACCGTTACCTTTACCCATCATATAGGGAATTCCATGTTGGAAATTCATGAAAACAATAGTAGGCAAGTACAGAAAGAAATTCATAATTGATTAGAGGACTGAAAACAGCAGGAATTACTCAGCTACAGAATTAGTGCTAAAAGCAGAATATTTCATAATTTTAACCACAAAATAGAGACTGAATTTGAGATCTGTGACTAAGCTTTTATTACCTTTAATAGACACTATGATTACCACCCTCTAGCCCTTCCCTCCCAAATAAGGGTAGTTATCAATAAATCAATGGCTGGACCATGATAATACATGGAGATGAAAATGATATATGAACTCCAAGTACGATATAGATGTTAAACACATCAGCGATGGAGTCTTGCAACACGTCTAACATTCATAGAACGTGCAACATATTTTTCGTGAAGCAAGTCTGAGTAGCAAAATGTTGTTCTTATGAATATTGTGTTCTCTTAGATAAATCAATATTTTATCATTGGTGAAAAAAAAACCTATTATAGTCAGAAATAAGTAATACGAAGTATATTTCAACCAAGTCCTTGCAAAGACCAACATCTGGACAGTTATGTAGCCAAAGGAACAAGGGGAAGAAATGAAACTAAAATGTAAAAGTTTTAGAAGGTACAGGAAATGTTTTATTTGTGAAGGAAACTCTTGAACCATATAGCAGAATGCTTGGGGTATCGTTTCAGTCCATTGTTGTAGTCGACGTAGTTTGGAATTTACACCCACAATTAGTTGTTATACAAGGAACTAATGCTTTGATTAACAAACAAATTCGGGATATTCCTTTAAATGTTAAAGAAGGAAAAGAATTTGAAGCAGGGAGGAGAATTATTATCCGAATTTTAGAAATTGCGAATTTTTGTTCAAGATGGGATTTTTTTTTGCACATGTTCATGCTGATGGCATTTGATGCTTTCTACATTTGGAAGCATACTCATCAATTTCTCCTTCAAGTTATAGTCAATTTCTTCTCTGATTTAATATTACTCTTTTAGCTTTCTCTAATTGTGACAGCTGCAACTTCCACACCACTGTTTATCAAGTCTTTGTTATGTTTCAGCTCAAATTGTGATAGCTGAAACTTAACAGAGAAATATCGATGATGGGCAAGGATAATCAAACAAATTTGTAAAAGTGGAATGTTAGACTAATATAACTTAATATATAGATAAAGAGGTCAAGTGTAACTACCGTAGGAGTTGAATGTATTGTTTTACTCTGAATAATATATGTTTTTTTTGTTTTTTTTTGCTCAATAGCGTTGCAAGATACATAAGTTCTACAATACTCTGACATAATTGTGGGCACTAGAAACATCACTTTGGTCCAAACCTTTGGATTATGTCATTAAATATCATAGATTGTAAAGGAAAGAGATCATAAAAACCATGCATGTGTGAGCACATAATTTTGGTTCATTTCTACTAGTGATAACCATCGAAAGAGAGTTATAAGTAAAGCCTTTCTCACACCAACAAAACTGAAGCTGAAAGGGGAGGTGGTGGGGGAATCTTTAAATAGTGAAAAGTAGACCTTGTAATAATACAGAAAGAGCTAATCCAAAGATCGAAGCATTAACTTACCTAATAGCAAGTTGTGCAAAGGCTAGATGATCATGGTAGTAGTGTATCCTCATGCCATCATTCAAAGCTTCCTTAAGAGACAATCTGGCATCATTTGACTCATCACAGCCTACAAATCACATTTATTATTTGTCACATTAATATTAGTTTATGCATAAACGCGATCATCTAAAAAATGGAAAAGGGAAGCATGTAAAAAGGTTTATTAGGAACAAGCAGTAAGAGAAAAATGTCAATTTGGCTAATTGAAAAATATTATAACCTATATCTAGCAATGCATCACCCCTTAAACCAAATTCACTTGACGAATAGACTGAGTTAGAAAACACCAAACAAAATATGACTCACCATTTTCTGTGACGTAAATGACTGGATTTCTATATCTTTTCTTTATATGGAGTAGAAGATCAAAAATTCCTCTTGGATAGATATATAGCCAATCTGAAGCAGCCTGCAAAATAATTCGTACATGCAAAATTTAATTTGTTGGTATCAGTTCCATTGTTTGCAGTAACGAAAGATAGTAGGTATTGCTGGGAAAACAATTTTAAAATAAAAAAGGCATAGCACAAAAAACTTGATCATAAGAAAGCAGTGCATATTGCAGAAGGCTTCCTGATATTTTGGTAGTCAAGTACATACCCTTGGACCAATTGGTATTCCGTTACGTTCCGCTGTAGAAAGAAGTTTAAAACACAAGTGACACTTGAGTGGTCTTATGCAAAGTCTAAAATAAGAAACAGTTTGATGGACTTACATGTCGTATTGATGAGAGAATCAGTATTAAAGTTAGGTTTTCCATTCCTGAAACTAGGAGCATATGCTGTGTAGCTGCTAGTGTAATAATTTAAGCCAATGAAATCAAATGAACCTTTTAGCAGGCTAGACTGCTCCCTTGAAAACTTAGGCAAGCGACTGCCAACAAGAGAGCCCATCGTATGTGGGTAGTCACCATATGTCACAGGGTCCATATACCTATTAAGGATGGAATTTTCATAGGATTAGAAGCAATACATTGAGTTTGGACTCTTTAAAGTCAATAATAACAACTGAAGAAACCTCCAGCTAGTAGTCAACAACTCAACAATTTCAGAGAAAATCTATTAAATCAAGTAGAACTTAAAATATTAACTCTATGTTGCGGAACTATATTTGTAATACATTCCTCAATAACTTACATACTCACCATCCAAGCATAAAGTCAACAGCTCTAAGTGCCGCACTTCGGTCTTGCCTAGCTTGAGAAAAGGGGATGAACCAATTTGAATTCAAAGCTATACCTATTACACCTTTTTGGGATGCCTGTGGTATGCAAAACAAGTTACATATAGCTCAGAAATCCTCCAATACATGCACTTTATCAACAATTCAACATCTGATCATATACATCAATAATCTTAGGCTCTTAGCATAGTAACTTACATCACGTCATTTTTTTATCATGTTACTTGTTGGTCAGGCGCTGATGGAACCAAACATAAGCTGAGTAATTAAAAGTTCAACTGAAGTTTAGGATATAAGATTATTTTGTATATATCCTATTAAATTTCAAATTAAAAGGTGTCGTGAATTTGTTATTCTCACTTGTCATTTGAGTAGTATGTAAAGCGAAGGATCATGTAAGTCCTGCCAACAAGGGCTATTGCAAACTAAGAGACAGACCTATAAGCAAAGGACAATGAAAAAATAAATGGAAACGGAATGGAAAGGAAACAAATAAAAGGGGGAAAAGCAATCATTAAACTTTTCATTTGTTTGATTCAACCATGGAAATGAATCAAACTTGACTCTTTTTCTTAAAAAGGGTAAGTGTTATTGTTACCTTGGGTATTCGAGAGGTAACAAATTGATTAGGTGGAAACCTATGTTAATCGGACACGGCTAAAATTGTGAAGTGTCAGTGTCGACACGACATGACGCGGACACGGACACAGGACACGTGTCCGACACTTCACTGTGCACTCGGACACTTCCATTAAGAGTGGAGAGGAAAAAAGAGGAGAAACATGAAAGAAAAACATATCTTGTTTGAAGACCACCATTGATATAGAGAAGATGGAGAAAAGAAGACTGTCATTTATATGAGAATTTACTGAGGAAAGAATAACATAAAATAAATATAGGGGTGGACATGATGAAAAATTTAAAGCTTTGTAATATATAATTTATTTATATAAATTTAAGTGACGTATTGACGTGTCCTCGTACCCGTGTCCAAATATCGCACAGAGTCCCCGTGTCCTAAAATTTTGAAACTTGCCGGATCGGACACTTGGACATATGTCCGTGTCCGATACCCGTTCCCTAGTCCATGTAACATAGGTGGAAACCATTACCCCTAGGTAATGGTAATTTTGTTACCCAAACCTTCTAACCAAATACTTGGTAACGCCATAACGGTAATGGTTTAAATCCGTTTCTAAAATAATACCCTCAAACATGCTCTGAAATCAACCTCCCCCTCAAACAAAGATTGGAAAGAATAAAAACTGTGTCCACTTACAAGCAGAAGAGCAGCAATGCATATAGTATATAATAGAATGCACATCAGTTTTTTAGTATTTTTAAAATGGTTAAAGTTCAAATACCAACATTTATACACATTGGAAAAGTTCAGGATATATGAAGTAAGACCTGATATTTCTGTCTATAAATTTGAACAGCTGCACCATGAGCAAGAATCTGGTAATGCGCAACTTTGTAAGGGTCAGTGGCTAAATTAATATTGCACTTCAGGGCGTCTGATGTAGAGCACTGCTTGGACGAAAAGACTCCAGTTGAGAAAATGCCTGTACTATAGGACCATGGTTCATTGAGTGTAATCCAATTCTTCACCTTGTTACCATACTCTCTAAAACAGAGGTCTGCATAGTTCCGAAAATCACCCCTGTCCAGTAAAACAATATATATATAATATAACGCATCAAACATATATAGAAAGAAAACTATAAGATGCAATAAGCTGATGCAGTGCCCAAAGTAAAAGGAATCAAGGTAATAATATCTTAAAATTGGTAGACAAATTTGAGATTGATTTCACGTATTTCGATTATCAACATTTCCAAAGTATTAGTTACTACCTTTTTTCTTTTTTATTAAACATTTTAGCATTCCACACAATGATTAACAATTCATTTATATAGTTAATTAACTTTGTCCCATCGCTTGACATGAGCCACAATGATTGAGATTAGTACTAGGATGGGTGACCTCCTGGGAAGTACTCATGTTGGTTCATGTAGCCTGACCCCACTTATGGGATTAAGGCGTTCAAGAAGAAGAAGAAGAAGTTAATTAACTTAATTTTCTCTCCATTCAAGATTAATCTTAACCAACTACAATTTAATTTTCCGACCTCTATTACTACGTACTCAATTCTCATTGAGTTGAGTTGAACATTGGATTAAAACAAAGACAACCTTCTCTTTCTACTTAAATGATTCCAAAATACCAACTATTCAAAAGTAACTGAAAAGGAAACAGGTACTAAAAAATGAAGTATGTTTTACAGTTACCATATTTCCATTATGCTTTGAGAAGATCATTTCTAGTAATGAACCAGTGTTAACCGCTATGACAAAATTGTGAAGATTTCTACAAAGTTAATAACTTACACTATTTGAGGACTAATAAAACCACCATATTCATCTTGCAATGACTGAGGAAGATCCCAATGGAAAAGGGTGATGAATGGTTGTATGCCTGCCATTATGTAGCAACAAAATGATCACAATGTTGCAGAAAATATAACATACGAAGGAATAGCAAAGAGTGTGACAAAATATTAACCATTCGCCAAAAGTTCATCTATAAGGTTGTGGTAATAGGCTATTCCTTTCTTGTTCACACCCTTGCTTACTTTTCCATCTGAAAGTTATAGAAGTATTCCAAAGATGATCAATGTCAGTTTGAGAATTTAAAGAGAAAAAGTAGCTCTTGCATTTCACTTAATTCCTACATGGAATCAAGGATTTATCAAAACCCAAAAGTTTTAAGACACAAAGTCATAGATCTTCAGACCAAACAATTAAACTTGAATTTTTCAAGGATTCGGGTAATAGTTGGATCTAGAGCTTAAGTAATCATAAATGAGTGTTGTATGACTTTATCAGGAAAAGAAAAGTAGGGAGACCAAGTTCTTGGGGCTTAAATTTTAGGTTCAACAACATCATCATCAATCACATATGCAACATCAATTTGCTCCAAATATAAACGTATCCTAACATCCCAATGTTTATAATTCCTTATACCAAGAGGTTCTAATTGTGACATATCAATAAATCAAATATTTGGAAGCCGTGATTGTTTTTTAAATTGATTATAAAATAAGTATTAGAACGCAAAATACTTCTTTTTTTATTTCTACAATATTACTTTTGTTTTTTGGGCAATATTATGATTATCATCGGGTTTGTGAGTGCACACAAACTCCAGCGTCATGCTGATCTTTGAGGGCGACCATTTAACGTCTAGTGCACCGGAATAGCACAAAATATAAGTAATTTCTCTTTTATTGCTTACACTATAACAATTTGCACCCCCCCCCCCCCACTTCTATAAGTGATGCTTGTATTTTAATAATTTTTTAAAAGTAAAATTAACTCGTTTATATATAATACACATTTACAAGATAAATCAAATCTAGCAAAAAGGTAATAAATTGAATCCCCATAAATGGTGCTTTGCATTGTACCACTGAAGATATCACCAAAGTATTTTTTATGTTCTTGCTAGTTTTGTCTTTTCTTTTTTAATAAACTTTTAATGGAGGTTTAACCCCCTTTTCCAATTTTAAATTTTTTTAACACACCTTCCTCTTACGTCGTCGTTTAAGATGAGAATTGTGCTTAAAAAAAAGAGAATAAATAATGTAACGTTTCTTCCCGGGCAAATAACAAAGGGTTGCACAGCTCTCACTCAACTCATTTCTTTAACAATCAAACCCACAAAAACAGAAAAAAAACACAAAGATAAAGAATCTCTTTCTACATACCCTTAAACAATTCCTTTCCTATTTTTCTTCCAATGTACAATCACATATATAATCTAAACTTGTGATACCCTAAATGTTACACTTTCCAACTCAATCACATACCACATCATTATTTAGCAAATGTCTTTGAGCCCATCTCAAACTCGACCTGACTCAACTCAAAACTTTAATTCTTATTGGTGCTACCAATGTCGACGGATTGTCCGAATATCCTCGGACAACCCGTCGGAAATCGCTTGCCCACGATGTTTTGGTCAATTTGTGTGTGAGATGGAAATCCCAAGGCCAAGACTAGTTTTTAATTTTACATATGATGACCCGTCCCCTCAAGCCCGTCTCCTTGAAGCCTTAGCCCTTATGCTAGACCCGCCACTGAGGTTACGAAACCATGAGCCCGATAGCTCGTGGGCCGTCCCACAACGACAGTCTATTAGGGATGTAGTACTTGAAGGGCCTACTTCTGAACGGCCTAGATGGGTTCAAGTCCCACGGCCTTCGAACCGTAGGGATGACTGGGATATTGAGCCGGGGTTACGTGCCCGGCCCAGGTGGGTCATTGTTAGGCCCACAGGCCTGCCACCCGGATCGGTAGGCCTGGTTTCCAGGCCCGAGATCTTACCCCCAGTTATTGAGCCTGATCCAGGAAACTATTTTCTTGGACCAGGCTTACAACAGCTGATTGAAGAACTGACGGAGAACGACCGCCAGGGCCCACCACCGGCCCCAGATAGCACAATCGAGGCGGTGCCAGTGGTGAAGCTGACTGCAGAGCATGTGAAAGAAGGTGGCTCAGAGTGTCCTGTTTGTAAAGAGGAGTTTGAAATAGGGACTGAAGTAAGAGAGTTACCATGCAAACATGTGTATCATTCTGACTGCATTGTACCTTGGTTAAGGCTGCACAACTCCTGTCCTGTTTGTCGAACCGAGCTACCGACATTGCCTCAATGTGAAGATGTAGGAGGAGGACTTGAATCAGAAAGTTCTAGTGTTGAAATTGGTAGGCCTCGTAGATGCTTGAATTGGAACTGGTTAAGCTCGATTTGGCCCTTTTGTTCTCGATATTCAAGGATTAGCCCTCATGATGATCGTAATCCTAGGTTGCCAACCGGAGGTCAGAACTTTAATCTTTGAATTACTAATTGATTATTATGCAAGCATAGAAGAACAAAGGAAAAACAGATCAACCTAGATAAATAAGTCTTTTAATGTCTATTTTCACGGTAGTTTATGATCTCTTTGCCTATTGTGAAAATAATAAACATACTACATTACCATACAACCTTGCAAATAAATTTGTGCATCTCTATGCTAGCATAGTACTAGTATGCCATTGAATAAATTTATATTACATGATTGATTTATTATCAATAATATCATTATATATTGGTGTGTTTCTGTTACTGTTGTATATATAGATGTTGACATTGGCTTTACTTGAAAATACAGCGATTTTGTTGACATGCACCTTACTCCTGATGCTTGTCATACCCTTAGTGACATATTCTCAATCCTAGACTAAGCTAACAAGCGTGATTCTCTACACTTTCTTCTGCAATGCATGAAAGAGATAGCAGCCGCGTCAGCAACTAACAGCAGCCACAGGCTCTGACATTTTAGAACTTACAGAGATGAAATTGAATCCTTCAAACATGTTACTATGTTAGTGTATATGTTATCATCTTAACAGAAAATCATACTTAATTTTCAGACATTGAGATATATACTTTCTGATCTTGGTATGCCAATTGTTGTACTTCTGACTTCATTATATATTCCTTGCTGTAAGAATTCAGAGAAACGCGCTTGTTTGTGATATACTGAATTGTGCTACTATATCTACCTGCTTTCAGCTGGTCGATCAAGGAGGCCATTCTGCCCTATTCTTTAGGATTGCTGTTGCTGCTATCATTATTGTGCGATATCTGGTATACAGTTCTTGAATTTGATAGATTACTCGGTGGAAATTTTTATTTCCAAATCATGCGTTTCTAATGCCTGGGAGTTCAAATTTTCGACGATGATGATGAGGCGTATCTTATGACACTAGTTCATTATGCTATTGAAGCCAACCATACTATTGCATTACATCTCTATGTATCTATGTATGCAACCAAAAATAATTTGGAAACGACAAGAAATAAACTCATGAAGATTATCAACCTGGTGGTAATGATGTACTTCAATTCTCTAAAGAATATTTCGTGACCCAAAATCTTTATAAAAATCAATCATACAAACCATGAACAAGTCTCTTTATAAGATACCATTTAGAAATATGAAGTACTCCGTAACATTTAATAGTATCTCTAAATGTCAACCTAGAGCGAGATCTTAGTGCTGAATCTAATGACAAAATATACAAAGAGATTTACATCTAACGGATACATCACTATTAATAAAAATAAAAAATACCTTTGAGCAAATAATGTCATCATTGTGGCACATGAAACATTCTTTTATACCCTTTTTCATATCACCATGTTTTACAAAATTCTTTCACATGTCAATTAATAAAGATATCAAGTGACGCTCTCATGCTTGGAGTATTAGATTAAGTTAGATAATGAATTGAGCTGTTTAACTGTTTTTATTTAGTGTACGGAATTGGGCTTCTTTTAGTTAGTGTACAGAATTGGGCCAAATCCAATTCCAAATGCATCCAAAGAGCTCAATTGACCCTAATCCAACATTTGAAATGAAATACTTTATCAAAATCATTTAAACATCTTTAATTCCAAATTTGATCCCAATTTGTTTACCAAGTTTGAAACACCAATGCAAGATCTTAGTACTTTTGTCCTGTCAAAGTTACAAATTACGAAGTAAAAAATTAAGAAAAAGAACAATTATTTCGTTTTTTATAGGTAATTTATCTGTACCTCATGCATTTTATTAATGTAGATCAATCCTTCTAACATTTTGCAAGAAGGAGCCAATACAATTCAGACAAACATATTTAATACTGCTGTCGTAAGGAAATTATTTATTTATTTATTCTAAGAAACTTGCAAGTGAAATTTTAGAAATAGCTTAGCTAAAATCCATATTAATTTATAGCGAGGCTAATATTACTTTAATGACAATGTTAATCGCGTTCCTAATTCTCTATCCTCATTACAAGTTAGCTTAATATGTATGGGAAAATTTCTCTAACAAGATGTAATTAAAAGTAGAGACAATCCTTAAAATCAATCACATCAATTAATTAATTAAAATGCTTTTTAATAGTGGAGGAATATAATCCAAAATCTATTCACGAGTTATGAATATATTTCTAATATTAGTTGCTGGACCTACTTCTTGTCCAATTTATCCATAAATTTGGATATGAATTCTTTTAGTAGTAGCTCAAGCAAACTATCAAGGGCCAAGGCTAACAAAGTTGTCGCATCAAATTTTTGGATAATTAAAAGCTAAAACTTCTATTTTAAGAATTCATTATCTTTTTGATAACGAGTGATTTTATAATAGTGTATAAATTTCATCAAATATCCTCTTTACGTTTTTTATTTTCCACATTACTATTTTTCTGAGTTTGACATCTGTTGTTTTTCTTGGTTGGCCAATGGATGAGAATGTTCAATTTAAGCCAATCAAATTCAATCAATCTTATCCATTTTATTTATAACTTTTAATTCTTGCATTTATACATACGTGAGTACTTCGAAAATAGACATGCGCCGACAAAGTTTATGTTCTCTTTACTTATTTATTTTTTATATTTCAGATGAACAAATTTTCTTGAAAACAAAATGATAAAATGTTTGAAAGTTAAATCTGCCTACAAATATATATATTCAGGGGACATGTGTATAATAAATTGACCAATATATAAAGTTTACAAGTATAAAATGTTACTATATTTGGATATGATATAGGAGTATGAAGTAGAATATAAGAGATAATCTTCAAATAAGGGAATCATCAAAGGCAAGCCATCAAATTGGACATACACAAGGAAAACGATATGTGTACAATATTCACTTTTCTCTGTTGTCTTAGATAAGAAGGCCAACACATGAATGGTTGCAAGTTGAACTTCAATTCATAAGCCCCACCAAAGTTATTAATTATAATCCTCGTCCTCAACTTATCATTTTTAGATAGTCAAATAAACTTTAATATATTTAAATTTTATTTGTGACAATTTATGTTTCAATCAGTTCACTTGAAATTCACTTATTTAGAGTTATATATATAAATTTAAGTTGTAATTCTTGTAAACTGAAGTGAAGTAGTTCTTATTAACTATACGTAAATTTATTTTATATTTGCAACAGTAAATGGACATAACAACTCATTGAAATATTCCATCTAATTTGGGTGGTGGGTAGAAAGGAACTTTTAAGAATATAAAAAAGATATAGATGTATTAAATTTGAAATAACAAATCAATTATTGAATTATTTTAATGATGTAATAGTATTTATTCATAATTATAAGAGGATAAGATTTCAAAACAAATTTGTACTATTTTTAGCATGAAATTTAGGATAAGAATTAACTTTTGATGGGAGAAATAAGAGATTTATTTTGTATACATTTCCGATTTTCTTTCCTTATTTTTCACATTACAACAGCTTGTAAACTCTTTTTTTTTTTTTGAAGTTAACAGCTTGTAAACTTACCAACAAGAAATAATTATTTCATCCATCTAATATGCTCATTACATCGGTTGAACGTAAACCAACCATATTACAATAGAAGAAAGCTAACAAAAAGCCCATTTGGTAAAAATAGAACATTTTTTGGGAGGTAGATGTGTGCTAGAATTAGCTCATGAAGTTTGACAATAATTCACCAGCAGTTGGGTCAAGTCTCTGTACAGATTAACCAACTAGATATAAGTTTGCTAGAGATCGTTTCTTTGGTACCCCTTTGGCTAGCTATCTATCCGAATTAAACATTTGAAAACACCAACCCTACTCGGCCACTCCCACTCCTATGGTAGAAAGTTATTCTTTCGAACACTATCTAATTGATGATTATATATAGGAGTAAAATAATTTGGAGTAGCCGAGTATAGGATTACATGAATCGGAGATGGTAAAATCTTGTCTACATTAGTACCATTAATTAGATCACTTCTTAAGTGTTTAAAGAAATGATTTTTGAAAACACCATACAATCCATTACCTTAATAATTCAAATCAATGAAAATTATATGAGCAAGTTAATGCAAGGAGCATCTCTAATGTACATTAACCTAGAAATATCAAAATTTTAGATACTCTTTAACGACTATTACAACTACCCGTTTGTAACGCACAAATAATAATGAAATGGGGTAACGATTTTATGAACATGTCTTTTGCCAATGATCATAATAATATTAATCCATGCAACCCAAGTTTTCGTTACCACTTTAGAGGTGAGTAAACTAAAAAGGAGAGTACTAATGTTTGAGAAAAGTTGCAGATAGAGTACTCACGTTTGAGAAGTTGCAGATAGAGTACTCAAACAAGTATTCACTCACTATAACCGATTACCATTTGTACAATATATATATATATATATATATATATATATATATATATATATATATATAGGGGAGGGATCCGGTAAGAACTCCTCCTTATATAAGAACACTAGTTATATAAGAACTAATCTAATCCGTTGGATTAGATTGAATTAAACGGTCACAATTTATGGAAAGCCAGTAATGGCATTATTGTAAATATCAAAACTCTTTCACCTTCATACATAAACATAAGTGTCTTAATTTTCTCTCTCCTCAAACACAATCCACACCTTTGTCACTTTCTCTCTCCTAATACCCCATGTTCTCTCTCCTCAAAACCCCAAAATTGCTCCAAATCGAACAAAAAATCATCGATTTCCTTCAAATTTTTCACATAATTTCAAGAATATTGTTCCTAAACTTGCATAAAACAAGTTGCATTGAACAATTCAAGTAAATATTTCGCAAGAAAAAACCCTAGATTTCACAAAAAATAATTCAAAGGGAAATACATATATTATTTGAAATTGACAAATTACAACATACTCTATGAAATTAAGTTCCGAAATGAAAAGGTAAGTAATAATCTATCAATTTGAACGAATTTTAGGTACTTTCATTGCCTAATTTAGGTCGTTTTTTATATTTATTTTTTTTGGTATTTTGAAATTTGAATTGTTGCAAGCATAGAATGAAGAATATAAGGAAGTTTTTGGAACCATGTGCCTACTGTTACAAATTCGTATGATTTTTCTTCAATTTTATGCTTTATATTCTAAACTTTTGTTTTGAATCATATTTACTATGCTTATTATGTTTTAAATTATAATCTAAATTCTAAAGTATGTGTAGTGTGTTTAGATCTGATAATTTATGATTTTTGTGATGTAAAATTATGTTTGAAGGAATGTGTATTATGCTCTAAATGTATATGTATTATGTTCTAAATTATATCTATTATACTTGTTATGTTCTAAAATTATAATCAAAAGTATGCAGAGTATGATTAACTCTGATAATCTATTATTTTTGTAATAAAAATTATGTGTTCTAAAGTATATCTATTATGTTCTAAACGTATGCTTGTTATGCTTCAAAGTATGTATGTTATGTTCTAAAAACATGTTTGTTATGTTCTAAAAGTATATATCATGGTTCTTATGTCATAAAGTGTTTGTATTATGTTCACATTTATATCATATGCTAGCTTCTTATTATTATGACCTAAAATTGTGTTTAAAAGTATGTTTATTACTTTCTAAAGTATGTTCTATTATGCTCTATTGTTCATATTTTATCATAGGAAAAAATTAAGAACATAGGATGAAAATAAATATTTGAACATAAGTTTAGAACATAGGATATTAATTTATAACATAGAAAAAATAAATTTAGAATATAGGATAATTTAGAACATATATAGGCTGAAAAAATTTAGAACATATAGGATAAAAATTTAAATCGCCATACATTTATAACACATGTTTAGAGCATAGGAAAAAATTAGAACATAGGAAAAAAAATTAGAATATAGGAAAAAAATTTAGAACACAGGAAAAAATTTAGAACATAGGAAAAATAATTTAGAACATAGGTAGAAAACTTTAGAACATAGGAAAAATAATTTAGAACATAGGAAAAATAATTTAGAACATAAGTAGAAAACTTTAGAACATAAGCAAA